GCCGCTCTGTGACACGTCTCATTTTCTGAAATATCTAAATGCTGATCCCACAAATAGAGCGTCTGCCATTCATGGGGCAGGTGCTGTATTAATGGCTCAATCACTGGCTTTTATTCTGATCAGTTCAGTCGTCATCAGTAGGCAATGGCTTCAGACCGCCGCTTCTGCGCTATTTAATAATCAGACATTAATGTTCCATGTCGCTCTCTGGCTGAAAAGTACCAGTTGGCTCCAGGATATCACAGCTCTCTGCCGTGACAGGGGAGGGGCTGGATTCCCCCCTCCCCGCTCCGATCCTCCAGCGCTGACTGGCGGAACGGACGGGGGAGCGGGCGGGTACAGCTGGCTCTGCCTCTAGATAGGCAGAGCCAGCTGTCACTCACGCAGCTGGGCGGATCTTGACATCGATGTCGGCATCCGCTCTGGCTGCGGCGTCTCAGTATACCGCGAACTGTAGCTCGCAGTATACTGAGCTTAGGGTAACGGGAGGATGCTAGTTTGTGTCCTCCCGTTACCCTAAGGAGACCTATGGGGAAAAGCCCTGACCCCATAGTTCTCCTTTAAAGATGAACTCCAAGCACAAAGAAACTCCTTTGTTTATGCCTATAGGCACTCACTACAGGTTGCCTGCAGAAAACTACAGGAGGGGGCTGAGACAAGGAGTGAGAGCAGCAGTGAGCGGTCTTTATTACAGTTCCAAGTCTCACACTGGATTACTGCACAGATCTGGAGGAAATACACAAAGCTCTCCAAGATCCAAAGATGAATATGCATGACTCTTGTATGAGGACAATATTTGCTTATCCTCAGCTTTAACAGGAAGTGAGGGGAAATCCTGTGACATTTGCCCTCAGAACAGGTGTTCCTGTTGGGAGAGTTCTCCTCTTGCTCTGGTGACAACCATTTTAGATTTCTGCTGATGGTTGAGAAGAGGAGAATCCCCCTCAAAGAGTACCCAGACCACAATAAAAATGGCAGATGTTATAACTCACCACTGCTCCATCTAATACTTAAGTTGCTGGAGTTCTATTTGAAGCAAATATTGGGCAAATACGACTCAAGAGAAGTAGCCAGGATTGACCTTCAGGAGGAACCATCCTGACTGCCTCCTGTTACTCTATACGGTGTGGCAGTGCATGGCAATGCCACGGTGTAGTATGGCGACTTTGGCACCCAGGACTCTTAGCCAAAGGGGCTGAGAGGGTCCAGAATATAAACAATGTTTTAAGGAAGAGCCTGGCTTTTCAGGTTCGTCCAGGTTTTCCTAAATGTAGCCGGGATCTGGAGCTCTGGAGATCTCCAGAGCTCCAGATCCCAGCAACATTTAGGAAAACCTGGAAACCTGGACATTAGCTTTCCACAAGGTTGTGGAGTGTGTCTGTGGAGATTTGTTCCCACTGAGCCAAAAGAACAGGTACTGATGTTGGCCAAGGATGGTGTTCAGTAGGGTTGAGGTCAGGGCTCTGTGAAGGACACTCCGGTTCCTCCAAACCAAACTGGTCACACCATGTATGTCTTCATGGAGCTGGCTTTGTACACACGGGACAGTCATGGTGGAACAGAAAAGGGTCACTGGAGACACCTGAACTCTATGATTTGGAGGGGGTGTCCACATACCTTTGGTCATATAGTACACTATATATGGCTAAGTGTCCTATTGTAGACACTATATATGGCCAAGTATGTGGACACCTGACAGTTGCAGATGTGATTGTCAGATGTCTACATATATGTGTTTCCCATGTTTCCCATAATCCCCTGTTATTGGAAACTTGATGCTGATGATCAGTAATTACAGATTATCTGTAGAAGGATAACGCTGCTCTTTAGGTTTGTCCCAGCCGTTCCCCAATAACAGTTTGATGAGCCCCTCTGTCTTCTTTGTATGATGGAGGTTAGAGTTAATGAGAGCACTCCCAGGGGGATGGAGTGTTTTGCCCCCTCCCCCCCATCTCCGCCACAGAACACCCAAAATCTCTGTATAATGAGTACTGTGACGGCGCTGGGCCCGAGGCTGTGTGTTTATTATAGATGCACCAGCTGAGAGCTTTGTGTGCATGGAGAGTGACTCCGGCGGGCTGTGATTAATGAGGCCTTTCTTCTTATCCCGTCATGTCTTCATTGTGGACTAAAGCTGCCATTACAGCACGCTGCCTCAATGTCTGACCTACATAGCAGTGTGCCCTCCGCCCTCCCAGAGCCCCGCCGCTCTGCGCCCCATATTTATCAGCAGTGAAAACTATCTGGGCTCACCAGCCAGAGGGAAACCTTCAGATTCACAACTGGAGAAGGAAAGTCTGAAAGTCGACAAATTCCTTCTCCGCAGACTGATATTGCGGCTATAAAAATATTTCTTACAAGTGATCCGTCCGGATCGTTCTGAGAGGAAGAAATGTTCAAAGCGCACATTGCTCTGGACTCCTCTCTTGTGTCTTCGGGTCAACTTATTGATTGGACAGCCGTAAAATAAAGCCAGTGGTCAGATATTTAGTAGTTTCTCATGGGAGAGCTCTCATTAAAACCATTGGGGCTCATTCACACCACCGGCTCACTATGCAGGGTTTAGACAAAGTGCCATTGGATTTAATGGTGTTGGTTTACCAGAGTTCCCAAACTTCAGCCCTCCAGATGTTGTGACACTATAAGTTCCATAAGGCATTGCAAGTCTCCGACAGCCACAGACAGAGGCATGTGGGGATTGTTAGTTTTAACAAAGCCGGAGGGCTGAAGTATGGCTCTGCAATAATGAAGATGACCACTTTGAGGTTGTATTGGACCTTCTCTGTGTTTCTTTAGATGTAGCAGGTCAGCTGCAGTCCTCATACCTAAATGGATGCGTTTTAGTAGGACTGCGTTTGAATGCATAAACAAAACGAATCTAAATGACTCCGGCAGCAGTGTTTTGTAGTTGTACTTTCTTTAGTGTCATCAGGAGCTCGGGCCTCCAGTGAGTCATTCTGTTACTGTTAGGTCTCCGGCTGCCATTTATAAAAATGAAGGTTGCCATATACACTGTATGACCAAAGGTGAATGTGAACCCCCCTCCAAATGATGGCGCTCAGGTGTCTCCAGTGATGGGTAATAATATTTCTAGATCATACAAACACATTGTAGACAATTGTGCTCTTCCAACCTTGGTGGTAACAGTTTGGTGAAGGCCTTTTTCTGTTTCACTATGACTGACCCCTGAGCACAAAGCCAGCTCCATAAAGACATGGTGTGACCAGCTTGTTGTGGAGGAACCAGAGTGTCCTGCACAGAGCCCTGACCTCAACCTACTGAACACCTTTGGGATGAATTGGAATGTCAATGGTGAGCCGGGTCTTCTCATCTAACATCAGTACCTGACCTCACATATGGGAAAAATTCCCACAGACACCCTCCAAAACCTTGTGGAAAGCTTTCACAGAAGAGTGGAGGATGCTATAGCCTCAAAGGTGGGACAACTCCATGGCTCCTAATGCCCATGGTTTAGGAATAGGATGTCCAGCCTAGCTCCTATAGGTGTGATGGTCAGGTGTCCCCACATTTTTGGCCATATGGTCTTGCTTGGTTGCGGAATGATTGACTTTTTCCATTGTTTGGTTCTTCAGCATCTTCTTCTTTATAGCCCCTCATGTTGTCCAATCCACTGACCAGGGCACGCCAGAGATTTGTAGCTCCCGAGAGAAGAAGAGCCAGCAGCTACTTTGTACTCAGCTCTAAGTCAGTGTGGACAACCAGCGGAGAGATGAAACTGCTGCAGATCTCTGCTATAGATGTTTGTGTGACATGACTGTAATGGAAGTGCCGGCCACCTGGGTCCAGGTCGGGTCTGAATAACAATTCACTTTCCTGATTGGTGACCTTTAATTCTACAAGGAAAACACACCATGGAAAATTAGCCCGTTGTTGGCGGTTGTACGCATATATGTGGTAGCACGGTGGTCAGCCTTATTCTGTGCTGCCAGATATACGTGTACCTGTTTTGTGCTGGGAGTGTGCTCAATCGCGTGCCCCCAGCACTGTGACCACCCTGTCACCTACAGCTGCCGGTCACACAGCAAAGATGACCTGTTGGATCATCATGAAGCAGTACGGTACCTCCTCTGTAGGGGCACCTGGTAAGCTCCAGCATCAAGATCACCAGCATCACTCTTTAAAGCAACATAGTGGCATTACCGTATTCTATAATGAAGAACGGACTCTATGCGGCCCCCAAAACGTTGGTTTCCTATGACAAATGTACATGGCTGTCAGTGAACACATGTTCGGGGCCCCCTTCACTGACAGCCATGTAGTAGTGTCATGAGTCACCTGCACTCCATACATCGGTGCGACCTTACAAGATGGTGCTCATAGTGATAACACGGATGGCGCCATGTAGAACTCCAGTGAAGATCAGATGGTCACCAGCACACACACGCAATGTATCGTTGATCCTATTACGCTTTATTGTGTCATTGCCACCATTTGTCATACAACCAATGTTTCTGGGCCGTGTGGGGTCCCTTCTTCAGGGCAACATAGTGACATTACCGTATTCTATAATGAAGAACGGACTCTATGCGGCCCCCAAAACATTGGTTTTCTATGACAAATGTTGACAATGACACAATAACGCATAATAGGACCAACGATACGTTGCATGTGTGCTGGTGACTATCTGATCTTCACTGTGACAGCCAATCACTTGATGGGGAAGCCCGTAATACGCCTCCGGTATTATGTCTTCTTAAAGGGCCGATAGGAAGGACAAATATAACATGAGAGAGGACGGGGCCGAGTGCTCTGTTCATTAGGAGAAGGGAACAATCTCACTATCACAGCACGGCATTCACAAAACGACATTGTGGTTGACATGTGAAATCTCTGGAACTGGAAGGACATTAGAGGGATGTGAGTTGAATGTGACGGGGCAATAAGCTGCATTGACATTGAAAGGTCTCGTATTGTGTGTCCCGGGGGGGAAATCGGTGCACCGGACACAATTGTAACCGATGTCTGTGTTGTGGTTTCAGGAGAAGAAAGGACAGGAAGTCCAGAAGGGGCCGGAGGTGGAAGTGGCCAAGCTGGACCGACTTCTCGCTCTGGTCAGAGAGCCGGAGAACAAAAACAGGAAGTGAGATCACAGAGGAAGTCTGAGGATGAAACCTGACGAATATAAATGATTCCATACAATGTATTCAAAATAAAATACTCCATTTTATACGGCCAACTTCCCATCTCCTGTGTATGTATAGAAAGTAGAGGTGCACCCAAATGCAAATTTCAAAACCGAAACGAAACCGAAATTAAAACAAATGTCAGGCCGAAACCAAAAATGTTTTTATTTTCTCTTTTTCACATTGTTGAAAAATATTTTATTTTTATTTTATT